CATACTACAGCACAAAGGCCTGACAATTACTAGATTTAAGGGAATTTCAGCCATCCCACAGATTTCAATTATAATCCAAAACCTCAATTCCATTGAATGTAATTGACCAGGTAATAGCTTTAGAGAAAGCTTCACCTTACAGCGGCAAACGATCTGCGTTTGTCGCTATCCCTACGTTCATTTTGTTCCTAATTATTACATCTCTTTTTTTTCTGTTGCCCGTGTCAGATTCAAAGCAATTAAGTTTTTTCTCGGTCATTATTTTCCAATAAAAGACCAGCACATTCATTTATATGTTCTATAATAATTTTCACCAGATCTTACATACAGGGTGTCCCAGAAATAAGTGCAAGTATTTTAACTGGTAGTAAATTTCGACCCCAGAAACGCATCCATTATTTTTTTTGCGAAAAAATAAATGTTGAAAATTTTATATTTTTCTTGACATTTCCGTAAAATATTGAAAAATTTTGGAGTGCCGCTTGTTCAGTTTCCGGAAATTTATTTATAGTGCTTCGAGAGAATGCAATGTTGCCACCTCCTACGTTATCCACATTCTGTATGTTTATAAGTAATAAGTTCACATTTTTAAATTTCTACAAAAAAATTTTAATAATTTTATGCACTGTAGATTTTTTAATCATTGTTGATAACTTATTTACTATTAACTAAGGATAGTGCAACGCCTACTATATTTTAAATATCTTTTTTACAGTTTAGTAATCTGAAATAATGAAACTAAGAGTAGGTATTCTAAAATAATAATCCTAAAAATTTCAGATGGTATATGAATGTTTTTTATGCCAAATAAACGCGTAAGTGTAGTGCTGTCAAGAATCGCATTGAAATGAAGTGTTGTCAAGTGCAGAGTTGCGATTTTAGTTAAAGTGATAAAACGACGCTCTACTCTAATTACATTGATCTGCTACATCCAGTTTTCTAATGTTAGGTAAGTTTTTTACTTTTAATCTGAATTTTTCTAGTCGATGTATCAACACTGGGCGTCGAGCAAGCTGAGATTCTGGTAATTGGGTAATTGCTTGGTATTTGCGGCTGATTATCGATTGCTGCCGGCGACTCTCAAAATGTTTCCATTATTTTTAAAATGTTCAAATTTAAATAATTCGGTTATTATCAATTTATTTTAAAAATGGTAAAGAGAAAATGTTTTTTCTTTTGGCCAGCTCTACCACCACTTAAAATACTTGCACTTATTTCTTGGACACCCTGTCTAGTGAAGCTTAGTTAAAATATAAATTAAAAAAATGTTGCTGTGATAATTCAATATATTTTTTTAATTCTCTTGGTATATAATTAGTGTTTTTTAAAAGATAATTTTAAAGTTTTATTTAGCCTTATAATTCGTTGTTTAACTAACAAAAGACTACATGCATTCAAGTCTGTTCTAGCATAATAAATCGCGAGTGAAAATAAATAAATATCGTAGAGTTTAAAACGAATGAAACAATGAGAACTTGAAGTGTAACAAAACTTCAGGATTGGATTTTAAAATGCAAAAGGATCTTTGAAATGCCGAAAGAAAATTCAATCATGGACTCTCCATTTTCTATAAACTTGCAATTGTTTGGTGTAACACGGAAGAGGCTTTTGTTAAAATATCTGTTTCAATTAGGAAACTTTCTCTATCATGAAGTAATTTAATTCTGGACATTTCAGGTTTTTTTTGTCCGTTCCTTACAAATTCGATTTCATTTTCAGATGAATCTTTAACGTATTTTTGTAACATTAAAATAAATATTGCTTATCCCGAGTAATTTTATTTTTGGCAGTATCTGAAACCGTGTTGCCGATGAATAGTTAATAACTATGGCAAATAAAAACAAACAAGAAAAATATCCGAGAAGTCGTTAAAGCAAACGTCATAGGAACATTTAGTCTTGAACTTTTCCTTTTAATACTACTACATAGTATGCGACGATTTTATAGCTCCGTTCCTTTTAAAAGTAAATTGGTTTCGAAATTAAGATACATGTTTCTGTTTATTCAGCACATTTCGCTTAACATAACGCAATTATTTCGGTGTTTGTGAGCGGAATTACGTGGAATTAGGTGATAGATATGCAATTCTAGATAAATAACTCGTCACTAAACTTCACCACCTAATTGCAGAGTGTGTAGCGCCACCATTTAGTATTGTTCGTGAAGATTGTACATTTTGTTTGGAATGTAGGTCGATATAAATCATAGTTATAGAGTTGTTTTCCTCTAAGGAAAAGATGAAAATAGTTTTAACAATTTATTAGAACATTTCACTCCACAGAGACGTATCTAGATTTTTTTAGCGGGGTAGTGTATATTTTCGGGCCTTTTGTTATTTCTCTGAATACGGCACTGTTACTCAAATTTGCATAGTAACTATTCCAGAAAATGCACTTATAATTTATTACCTCCTCAAAACTATAAACAAATCTTTACGACAATCGATTGACTAAATTTGCATTTTTTATTGTTATGAAAGCAATAAATTTCCAATTAAAATTCAAGTACTGGGCGGAATAAATTTAATTTGCAAAACAATTTCTTTGGAGAAACATCGAAAAAAAAAGAAAAAACAAAGCGTTTTTATTTAATACTACACTTGCCATAAAATATCAATAAAAAACTCTCCTGAAAATTTATAAAATAAAAATGCTCTTAACCAATCTCTGACATTACAGCGGGTTTTATTAAATATAATACACTAATATATCTATAAATCGTTCATATAGACTTAAAAAACCTCTCAAATTACTTTGTTTTGCTTATATCAAACTAATCCACATAATTTGCATGGTAATATCGAGAGTATTTAAATTTTATGAATAATAAAGGGACTTTTGGAGAAACGAAAATTAATATACAAATCATATAAAAACATAAAGAACATACTAAGTGTGTTATTTTAATTAGCCATTTCATTTATATGCTAATGAGGCTTCAACGAATGTATTTTGTTGCATCTTTCTTAAGCGCAGTTAAAAATATCTTCAATGCTTTTATTGTAACCTTATTTTTTATTTTACAAATTAAAATATCGTATATAATTTATTATATTTTAATTACAATTTTTTGAATAATGATTTTGACCGAATTTGGTCATAGAAAAAGGCTTCAGAGAAGAAAAAAAATTGAAGATTTACGGGAATATTGCAAAAACTATATAATACCTTTCCCCACACGTTTAGAGGTTTCTCCAGTCCAATTGTTCAAAATTCTATAGGGAAAGAGATCTTTTTCAGATGTCCTTTTCCCGTAATTGATTGTCTTTTTGGTTTCCTAGCATTTTCTTTTAATCTAGGTACGAAAAAGTTGCAAGAAATCTAGTCATTTCAGTCGATGTCTAGTTGATGATATTTTTTATTTTTCAAAATTATTCACTATGATACAAAATTGCTAATCTATAATCCACAATATGCGAAGTTTATTTTTCATTTTCGGGGGTTTAGGATGATATATCCGCAACCCCAATAGTTAAAAGCTTGGCTGAATATTGAACAAGCACCTAAATTATTAGGGCGAAAATGGGTGGGATAAATAAAAACAAAATTTGATAAATGCAACAGCGCCTGTTGGTTTTAGCAAGACAGCGGATGAATTAATTAAAGGGCTAAGCACTGGGTCTAGATCTGACGATAGAACACACAGCCCTTTCTTTAGCCCGTAAGACGTCATTTCGGGACCTATTTAAATATTACGCACTTTAAGGGTGCAAACCTCTAATACACGAACAGTTTTCGTCAATTTTACCTGTTTTTACTGGATCAAGAGTAAATTTCACTGTGTAGATTTTCATTTAAAGGGTATATTTACCTTGAAAATTGACTGCTTTTGTATCGACCTGTTTAGTCTGTTTCATACTTTTAAAATAATATCATTGAAATTAGCTCTAAAAAACTAGCAATCTCGGTTTAAAATCACAGTAAGATTGTTTTTAAATTTTGTTTGAGATAGATTTGTATAAAAATATAAACATGCAGTCATGTTTATAAAAAAATAATATTTTCTGAAAGCCATAAATCTGCAGAGGTACGTGATCGACAAAAGATATCTAGTCATCCTGATAGCGAACAGGGTAGGTACACATTTTTCATAAATGCCATGTATAAATTTACATCTATTAAAACTGTAATTTCCTTTGAACTGGTTTGTTTGGGGACCGAGAATGTAAGAAGCCAAATGATTGGACATCTAGGGAGATCAAAAATCATGTCGCTCATTTACATTTTTTTTTGAAAAATTGGCTATATAAAAAAACCAGCGCCCTAATGAAAGTCATCCTCGATGTTTTAGGAATAAATTTCGATTTACATATGTAGTGGCATATAATTTTTTAAATAATTATACAGGGTGTCCCAATATTCCGTGGACATAGAACTACTACGTATTTTTGGAATCACAATTTAAAAGTATACACGGTGGCAATTTTTTACATGAGACAAAAAATGTAGTAAATACTAGAGAGGCCATTTTACGAAAAGAAAATCGGCCGTCGGTGTAGATGGAAAATATTTATACTAAAATTTATGTAGGGGTGGGGGTAGTTTTCACCCTTCTCGTACTTTTTCTTAAATTTTGTAAAAGTCAAATGTTAGGGCACTTAGCAAAACATAGACACCCAAAATATCATTCAAATAGGAATAACGGTTCTTACAATATCTGAAAAGATGTGTTTTTTATTTAAAGTTTGATGCCCTCTAGCGGACAAACGAAGCACTTTTGTAGAGGTAAATTGTGTCCAATAAACTTATTTTGATTCCAAAAATACGTACCTACTAGTTCTATGTCCACGGAATGTTGGGACACTCTGTATTATGTGTTACAGCGCTTTCAGATGGAGCGGACCGTCCGCGCGGATGTTTTTTCAATATAGCTCATCCGGACGGAGCATACGCGACCCATGTGAAATTGTTCATATAAACTCGCGGACGGTCCGTCACGGACGCTCCGCTCCATCTGAAAATGCTGTTAGAGTAGGTTTGTGGTTGGTTTTTCAAACTCACCGACAACATGAAGGTATCCGAATTGAGTTTTCGCTGTGGCAGTATTAATTTGACACATGTAACGTCCTTTATCTTCTTCTTGCACATTACTGATATGTAAGAACCACGTTCGGTGCTTGTCGTGTGACACGCTAATTCTTGGATTCCTAGTGATGACGTGGTTGTGAACTGTCAATATGGCTGATTGCTCGAAATGCATCCAGGCAATCTAAAATATAAAGTAAAAAGAATTATTTATTAATAAAATAAAACAATATTTGTATTTGGCAAAATGCATTTTTTGGTAACCCAAAAAGAATAGCATATTATCACTATACAATAAATAAAATTCCAAATGGACGTTGAATTTATCTGAACTTATCCGGAACAGCCAGAAAGGCATACAATAAAAATGGAACAGTGTGCAAATGGCTTCTACTTTCTGACCCCTTATTGTTCTACATTTCGACAAATAGAAATTGCCGCGTTCGCATACTGGATGCTCAAAGTTTACATTTTGAACTTATTTTTTTAGAAGTATGTAATTATTTGATTGATAATAATTTTATTTCTCTAGATTTTAATTACAGTAGTGTCATTCGTAAGGGTGTATTTAAAAGCTCTAGATATTAATTATTATTTTCTATGAAACCACATTACAGTGTGTTTCAAAAATCATATGCCCTTTCGCGCATATAACTAAAATTGCGTTTATCTCATCAAGGAGATCGAAATCGAAAAATATCAAAAGCCAGTTTTAATCGGCATTAAACAGTCTACACATTTTTGCTAAGAAGGGAAAAAAGGTCAGTGGCGTATATGTTTTTTTTTAGAAAAAACATTCTAGTGATAGCTCAATATGCACGTCATTGGTAAATATGTCAACACTTTTTTAGCATTAAAATATGTAGCACTCATAGTAACTTTTAAAAAAACTCTTAAAACTGTTACCTCTCAAAATTTCATTTCAATCGCTAAAAGCATTTTTAAAAATTATAATAATTCGAAAAAAAAAAATTAAAAAGGCTTCAATCCTCTATAACTATGAAACAAAGCAAAATGGGACCTATGTTGATATAAAAAATAAATCTTATTACGTGGGGATTCTCCCAACGAGAGATGGCACATATTTTTTTAAACACCCGGTATAAAGACGACTTTTTTCCATCAGTCCCATTCAACTTGTGCTTTATGAACTAATTTTATTGGAAAAGTTTCTGTTGGGAAAACATAAAATGAAATATGCATAAGTTTTCAAAAATAATAAACTTGAGCATACGAAACAAATAAACATGCGATAGGGAATGCCGCTGGGAATATTCCAAAAGTGTATTTGCTTCTGACCGCCAGATAATTTTAATTCGATTCTATAAATAACGTTTTTTGGCCGTTTTTGAGCTTAAGAAAATTGATTAAAATAATTTAAATATAACCTCACTGAAATATATGCATTGTAAACTTAGTAGGAGAACTAGTAATTTTATTTCTGCCTTTCATGACTACTCTTAACAATTTCAATTATTTATTGGTCAAATTAAGGCATTGCAAGGTTTATTAGATGTTATAAATTTTCTTGGAAAAATATGTAGTGTCATAAATTTCTTTTTAACTGCAAGGGAGTTATTAAGTACAGAAATAAAATACTGGGAGTAACATTGTTGGATATTAAATGAATTAAAATCGGATATCTAAGAAAAATTACATTGAAAATATTTTGTTTTGGCCTGGTATTTTTACATTTTAACGTGGAGTAACAATCTATTACTTTCTTTTACTATTTTGCTCGGGATTTCTTATCAATAACTTACTTGTTCTGAAAGTTTTGGAATTGTAGGGAATAGAGAAAAATCGGAACACTTAACTTACCGCCGAACTTTCGGAATTGAAAAAGATTCGCATTTTAATATTGTCCATTTTGGTTTATATTTATTCAAGAAAGTTGTTCGGCTGCCGCATATAATGTTTAATTCAACTTCACCGAAATTGGTTCAATAGTTTTTCAATTTGTTGCAGTATTTCCTTGCAGCGATTTAGAACCTTCGGTTTTTGTTTAATAGCTTTAATCTTAGGTATCCTTACAGTCGGAAATCCGGCAACAAAGAAGATACACAGAAAAAACAATGAGGTATTTGCAACAATTGTCTTATTATTGAGAGCAAACCCATTCATACAAACATAGTGCACATTATCTTGCAATGAATCAATTATTTAACTGCCATGTAAAAGATTACAGTTGAGGGTTGGAACCTTTGGTGTTCCACAGCAAAATAAAAACACTAAATCACCACAATACACCAAAACACTTTTGTTAAATAATCGTTTTCCTTCCATTAAATTTACGCATGAAATTGAGTACAACGACAGATTACCATTTCTAAATGTATTAGTTATTAGAAATACGCTTGGAATTTGATATCTATGGCAAAATATGACCACCACGCAGATATATTCCTAATGAATCACATCATAGAGTGTTGAACATAAAACTTGGAAGGTGGACCGTTGACTCTGTTCATACTATATTTACATTTATTAATTCTGATGCTTTCACTTATGCATCTAATTGCCTGTAATTTGAGACTTGTTTAAAATAAAAGTGTTTTGGTGTATTGTGAGAATTTAGTGTTTTTATTGCTGCCATGTAAAATATAACGCAGGTTTGCAGCGAACGCAGTTTAAATTTCTTAGTTCATAGATTACTTAGTTTCCCACTTTCCAACGAAAGATATGAAATAGAAAGAGATTACTTTAGGAATGTAGCTGAGTGTAATGGATATTCTCCTTCACTAGTTGATAAATTAATTAGAAAACGTAGGTATAGGTTAATGATTTCTGAAAATTCGACTTTTCAAGTAGATAAAGATACGTCTAAATATTTTTGGATACCGTTTGATAGAGAGTTATCCCGTTGTCTAAAAGGAATTTTTAAGAATGAATCAATGGACGCTTTATTATAATCGTGGGGTACCTACTAAAGACAGTACACGAGAAGATATACTTACTATATTGGATAGCTCGAAAAATCTGTCTAAAGGTAAACTAATTTAAATATACACAGGTATACATATACATATGGGTATTTAGTTAATTATTTGTAGTATTTATTAAATCAGTTTCTTTTTTCTCTCGCTATTTTACGCAGTAAGCAGCTGATTTTCGAATTGCACCAACCAGGGGTCCAATACGAGTAGGAAAAACACACGGAAAAAACAAAAAAAATTAACTAGCAATTGTAGTAGTCGAAACTGTGATATTTTTAAGGGTTGTTGAGTACCTAGGTGCCTTGTATTGGAAACCAATGAAGTTCTATAGTTGAAACAGTGATATTGTATATTCCGTAGCAATAACATGATACATTGATTCAAACACTGTTATAGTCGAGGAATGGGGAAAGTAGTGTATCTTTAGCCTAATGATACGATAGTGTTTTCTCTGTGTATATACTTTTGTTATCTATTTCAATTTACTAATTAATTTGCGTATATAATAAATTAAAAATATTTAGCGTAATATGTTAGCCTCGATGTCAAATATAATAGGTTTCATTTCATCAAAAGGAAAATTTTAATACATTGTTCGGCTTTTATAAAGGAGACCGTCTTTTTATTTTCGAAATTATTGTCTATTTTATGGGGCCCGGATAACCCTCATTGGATTTAACAAGCGATATTACACCGATCCTGTTCCAGTTTCTAAAATGCTGAAATTTTATTTTTACTGAAAATCCATCTATGGCCTTTATCGTCTTTATTTCTTCATTTGGTATTTAAATTAAATAACTACACTACTTTGGTCTTCATTAAGCAGTGCTTTTATATGTTTTACCAGGTTAATATTTACTTATTTTTGTCTACATATACAGTATGTCCCCGGTTTGTCTTTGCCAGAGGAAAAACGTTTTTAATATTGACATTTTGGGAAAAGTGAATTTTTCATAAACATTTCTGCTTGTTCTAAAATTGTTAATCCCGTTTATACTTTTTTAAATTTCCATACCGTTTCAGAAAAAAATAAGAAAACCATGAAACTATGATTGATTTTTTTCTATTAATTCCTAAAAATCAAAAAGCGTTTCTATGGTAATATCATTTCGACTTCATACATTGATAGATAACTTTTATTAATTTTGATTAACGTCATATTATACATTTGCTGATGTCAGAAGGTTCATTTTTTGATAACTATTATCACCCTTTCCGTAACGTTGAACTAAATAAATTTCGTGCTTCTTTAACATTTTAAAACAGCAAAAAATATGACATTAACTAAAATTCTATCAATAATAATCTATCAAAGAATGAAAACGAAATTATATTACCATAGAAACGAGTTTTGACTTTTAGGAAAAAATTCAACTATATTTTCATGTTTTTTTTAATAGTCTCTAAAACGGTGTGAAAATTTGGAAAAGTATAAACGAGATGAACCATTCTATAACAAGCAAAAATGTTTATGAAGAATGCATTTTTCTCAAAATGTCAGTAATAAAAAAGTTTTTCCTCTTGTAAAGACAATCCGGGGACCTACTGTATAAAACTTTAACGCTAAAATATTCTATTTGAATAACTGTTTTATTTCTTTCGTTTTTTTTCGGATCATAGAGCAATCATTATATTTTTAGTCACGTGCTTGTTCTGTATGAGGCATGAAGACATACAGCGTGAATACAAAAATATGAACCATTTTCTTGTTTTACATGGGAATATCAATAGTTTTATTTTCTGGAAAGAAATATTATAAGTGCATAAGAAAGTTTATACCTATACAGGGCGAGTCTTAAATAAATGCAAACATTTTTACGGGTAGTATATTTCGAAATTCGGAATTTTTGGATTTTTTTTAGTTTTTAATTAAAAAAACATAATCAGTGGTAAGATAACTCCGTTATTTTGAACATATTTGAAAACCGTAAAGAGAAAATATGTTTCTTTCATGGAGATCTACCAGTCCTGAAAATATTTGCTCTTATTTAAGACTCACCCTGTATATTAAACAACTTTTTGTTTAGTGTTTAGATGGTATGGAATTCAAAAATAAATTATACGTCGAGAAGAACCTAATAAATTTGCAAAGCTCGAAGAAAATTTAAAAAATAATAAAATTCCAACAATAGAAGAAGCAAGGTATTCTAAAATGGTCTTTATTGTCTGTTTGTTCAGTGTAATGGAAAAAGTTCGTCAACTATGATTTAAAGTTGCATGCATTATCAACTGTAGACGTGTTATAAAA